GAAAACTGTCTTGCAGGCTGGGTTAGGACATTGTTCTCCACATTGCAGTGATTGATGACAGCAGTACAGCTTTAGAGATAGTAGCATCCACTGATGATGCAGCCATCAGGCTGCAGAGAGCTGACTTTAGGCTTTGGTAGAAAAAAACTATTACTCTGGCTTAGTCATCAGCCACTGCTGGCAGTTAGGAATGGAGGATGCATTTTGTGGGTACAGATATCCCATTGTTGAGTTCCACACCTCAGCTCTTGCTTGTATCAGTTTCAATTCTTTACAGTTTTCTGTAAGATATCTCAAACAGGAACTTGGAAGGAAAAAAAATTACATGTAGAATGCCTTCATTTTCATGGGGAATCGGCGTAGGGATCAACCTAGAGAGTGTTGTGATTAAGCATAGCTTGGAACAGACAATTGTAGTGTGTCCAGAGTAGACTGGTCAAAGGTATTAGTGATAATGAAGCGGTAGGCTGTCAGTTAGGAATACTGCGATAAAAAGTTGAGGGGTCCTGCCTGGGGGAAAAGATGGGAGAATTTTGGTTTTTGTAATGAAATCATTCTTGTCATAAAATTCTCAAGTTGAGGAAACAGCACAATTTGGTGACAGTTTTGCCCTGGACACAGTAAACTTTTGTCTCATCCAGATCTGCCAGGATAAAACCAATTTTCCTTCGTAAAATTAAGAAATTTACAGCCATTTAATTTAAAGATTTATTTGGATCTTTCCCATAAAGCAAACCAAAACAAGACATCTGTCCTAGCCTAGTTGTTCATCTGATTCCTGACATCCAAAACCTAAGGAAGGGATTCTTTTTCCTAGCTTTAGTCTTCTAAAAGCTGGGCATGCCTTCTAAATTGGTTTTCTGGGCCTGTCATTAACAGATGGGGAGAGAGAGCTTCACTGTTGGGGGTGATTTGTTCCCTCCTAAAATAGCTGCCTAAGATAGATCGCTGGCTTCTAGGTTGCTAATTGAAAGTGAGATGTATCTTACCTCCGCTGTCTTCATTGCAAAAAAGTGTATGTTTTGCAATGAGATACCACAATCTAAAATCCTAGTAGAGACAAACTCCGATCGTTTGTAATCAGTGACACACATAGTATCTAAGGTCAACTTTGACTAATAAGACCAGATAATGCAGCAATTATTGCTTTGTTTAGAATTTACCTCCTTCATGGTAGTTATTTTAAGGAAAGATCTGTTTATAAAGAAAGATCTGCAACCCAAGCTGTATGGGAAAGATGCTTCTTTACAGGACTGAGAACTTTGGAGTAAAGACTAAAGAATACCTGTGCTACCAAAATAATCTCCATTGAAAAGCACAGCATTTGCTTAGCCAAGCTTCAGTTAAAACAGATGGAGTACAAAAGACATTCTTACAATGTCTGGAAAGAAGGAAGGGTTACCCTTGAGAATTTCAAGGTAAATTATTCCAATTTCTTAATCCTGGCATGTCTGATTTTAGAATACAAGCTTTTCTATCCCTATTAGTTTTTATATTGTGATTAGCTGTACCTTAAATTTGGCAGGAGCTTGGTTACACAGTGAAAGGATACATATATTTACATGCATGTGATTTGCAGCTCTTCACGGCCTTTCTGTAAAGAAAATGGGACTTTGGGCTGTGGTGTGTTTGTTTCTGGTCACATGAGGTAGCACTGTTATGTGTAAAGCATGTCACGATTGAGACATTGCTGCAGCATGTACTTCTTTTGTTATGACCTGCTTTTGTATCATTTTTGAGCGGACAGGGAAAACTTAGCCTGACTGCTTTTATGTCAAGAAACCAAACTGATGTCCATGTGCTGAAGCCCCCAGTCATTTGCTTACATTGATAACTGCAAAAATGAATCCAAACCAGGATTTTTTGCAGCCACGACTTATCTGAATTTTACCCATGATGGGCCACAGTCATTCCCATTCCAGATCACGTAATCCATCTGTTCCAGTAGCTTATCTCCAAAAGTGACCAACACCAGCTGCTGAAGAAGAGGCAAACTGTACTGCAGTAGATGTTTATGTTGTGATCTGGCCAGGAGGAGAATTTCATCCCTTTCGTTAGAGTTGATTTAGGTCCTGCAGCATGAAGCTTTACGTCCCCTCCAAAACTTTTAGGTATTTCGGTCTGTTTATTTAATTCCAGCATTTATAACTATGGATGTTCAATTTATCTGTGTGAATGTCTTAGCCTTTTTTCTTAATCCAACCAGGTTCTGTTAAAGCAATAACAAATACGACAGTAAATCAGGATTATGTCCTGAAATGGCAGCAGGGATTCGTTAACAGTGAAACAAAACTGGCGTCATCAAATCAGATAATGGGATTACCTGTCTCTGACTGTATGAATTGTGATCAGAAGTAGAAAAGCAGGACATATGCACTATCTGCAGGACCTTTTGGAATTGGTTTAAAAACTATTAGAGAAGAGCTGATCTAGGGCATAAGCAGCCCAGCAGTACGGCCAGGCGTTAACCTGGTATGTCTTAGGCCAGGTCAGTCATTTCCCTGTGGGAGCAGGGACACAGAGAAAGGGGAGCGGAGCAAAATTAGAAGCCAATTACCAGGCATCCAGAAAAGACTTTTAGAGTAGGATCCATGGTAGGATCTGTGTCTACACTGGTAGACATGGCAAGTTTATGTGTGGTATGATTTATTTATTATAATTTTTTTTCAGATTAATATAAGTGTGTTGATATGATAGACATTGTAGCAATTAGGCAAGATATTCAGTAAACCCCTGACTTCTCTGTTAGCATTCTTGGGAAAGATGGAAATATGTAACTTATTAAAAATCTGTGATTGTGTAAAACTGTGGGGAGTAGTAAACAACCTGTAGAGAACAAAAGGAACTCAGAGAGGTTTGGGATTTAGTCAGTAAATGGAATCACATGTGGCAAATGAAATTTAAAACTGAAATTGCTCCCTGATTTTTATTACACGCAGGCTGGCAAAGTATAAAACAGAATTGCAAAGTGAATAAGACTCAGTTGAAACCAAAAGGCCTTGAGATGCCTTTGGAGTAACTTAAAGCTTTAATTTCCCTTAACAAGGTGGGGAGCATTTGGAAAATATTACAAGGGGTTGTGAAGCTGGAAATGTGTGATGTTTCCCTATAGAAGTCATGCTCGTCTAATCCTATGCTCTGGTCATATGTGCCAGGGAGCCACAGTTTAGGGCTGTGGTTGCTGCTTTCAGAGAAAACATATAGAAATTAATAATTCAGAAGAGGAGCTGACCTGTTTTGAGGATAAAAGAAGTGCCCAGCATTAGTACACAAGCAGAGTGGGAAAGGTAGAGCATGAGAACAGCATCCTGCAGAGGATTGCTGGGTGTAACTTAGGGGAGTAAAATGAGAATTGAACTGTTAAATGTCCCATGGTTTAACTGAGGTCCTGCTTATGCTAGGTATGTCTCTACTGCAAAATGGATCACAGCTCTCTTGTGCTAAGTGGACGCACTGGGCTGAGTACGCAGCAGAGGGACCAGCTTGGCTGTGGAAGCTGTATCCTGTGTCGGTGTAGGGATGCACCTGAGCTAATGTGCTCAGCCTCTTGGTTACTCGTGGCTCAAACCAAGTTTGAGAGAGGCACTGCTGGTGTGTAACTCGGGACCCGCCCTGCCTTGCCCGCTGCAGCTCAGGGTGTACCTGCATGGCTAAGCTCAGAATCGGTCTACTGGATCCCGTAGAGAGATGTGACTGAGTAATTCCAGCAAGGAAATTAATTTTTTCCTGTCAGTGAAAGATCCTCATGTGCTTAACTTTAAACATGTGCTTTGCAAGGTGATGATTTCAGTGCTGTGCTGGTGTGTCTTCAACAGCTTTTCCCTGCAAAGAAAGAAACTCCATCTTCTACAACGTGCATAGGTCAAGTGATAACTGAGCACAGGTCATTAAAGTAAGGCATGAATGACTATCCAGAGGGAAACCAAGTCTGGTTTGTGTGTGGAGGGCTGCGTCTCTGTGGTTAGATGATACAGTCGTAAGGAGTGTTCCCAAGCACTGAGGCACCTTCATCGCAAGTTCCAGGCATAGCTTCAGTCCAGGCTGTTACCGTCCCTCTTTTGAGTGAGTGTGTTTGAGCATCTTTAGCCATGCATGAAGATATTCTTCCAGCAAGATGTATGCAAATTGAGAATATGAAGCAATTATTTACTGGCTAAAAAAGATAGCTGAGATTTAACTAGCTAATAGGCTGAGCATTAGTACTCACCACCTCGGAGAAGGCATCTGAAGAGACCTTCCAGGCCAGGCAGGCACCAGTGAGAGGAGAAGGATCAGCCTCTGCACCTCCCTCAGTTGGGTTGTTGTTGCTATCTTCCACCAGTAATGTCAACACCAGCACAAGGATGACCCAGCTGTTGGCCCTCACCCAATGACTGCCTGGTAAACTCGCAGTTTTTCCTTTTGGATTTGTCATGGTTTAACCCCAGCCGGCAACTAAGCCCCACACAGCCGCTCGCTTGCTCCCCCCAGTGGGATGGGGGAGAGAATCGGAAGGGTGAAAGTGAGAAAACTCGTGGGTTGAGATAAAGACAGTTTAATAGGGAAAGCAAAAGCTGCGCACGGAAGGAAAGCAAAACAAGGAATTCACTCCTTACTTCCCGTCGGCAGGCAGGTGTTCAGCCATCTCCAGGAAAGCAGGGCTCCATCACGTGTAACGGTTACTTGGGAAGACAAACGCCATCACTCTGAACGTCCCCCGCTTCCTTCTTCCTCCCTCAGCTTTATATGCTGAGCATGACGACTGCTCCAGTTTGTTTCCCATGCTGCATGTGTTTGTATACAGGCATTTGAGATAGACCCTAGCCATGCTGCTTTCACAGGGAAAGTGTAAGAACCCCATCATGCAGTGCCCCAGTCTTGATGCTGTGTAAGCACTGTTCAGCAATAACTAAAACATCAGTGTGTTATCAACACTATTTTCAGCACAAATCCAAAATGTAGCCCCATACCAGCTACTATGAAGAAAATTAACTCTATCCCGGCTGAAACCAGCATAGGATTTTATACCATTTCATGATGATGTTTTCTCTCTTGAAACCTTGATCTGCCAGCGATCCCCCTCTCAACGATCCTCTTCCTCTATCTGCAGTTTTACATTTCTTGCCTTTCTATAGATTTTCACACAGCAATTTTGTATGTCTCTGCAGTGTCCGTGGCAGTCTGAACCGCAGCTGGGCCACATCAGAGCTGGGGCCTGATGGGGCAGTCGGGCCTTGTGGAGCAGAGAAGAGGGAGGGCTGCCAGGCCAGCTCGCCTGCTCCCAAACCTGGGCGCAGTTCAGAGGCTGACACAAGCCAAGGATCACCAGTAGGCAGTTCAGACAAACTCCCGTTTTGAGGACAAGTGAGTTTAACAGTATGGATGTGAGGCGCACTGTGCCAGCTAGTCTCAGTGAGAAAAGTCATGGGCACATTTAATTTATGACTGTAGATGTGGCCATGTTGCCTTCCTCACTTTGCCCTCTGGCAGCAACTGAACATGTGAGTTCCCTTGAAACCAGGGTCTACTAGCAGTGTTAATTTACCTGGAGAAGACAGACCTTGTGCACCAGTCAGGGCAGCATGCTCTGGTCACTAACGTGGACACCTAGCAGCTTCTGGACCATCACACCTGCTGGTAGAGAGGCATGCTTGGGTTCCTACTGCAGGTGCACAGGCAGGCGGCTCCCAGAGCTGGTCCCGAGCCTGCAGAGGCTTCTTGAGTTACATCTGTAACTGTTTGGTTTGGTTTGGTTTGATAGTAGGATTTTGGGTGCTTACAACTTTCCAGGAAGCAGTGAAATGCCAAAGTGCTTTATATCATGTTTAGCTTTTTCTATTGATTCCAGCTGGAGAAAGTGCAAATCTGAAGGAGCATGAATGCACAAGCTACACTGCATCATGGCAAACATCCTGGGAAGATGCAAATTCAGCTCCTCTTCTAGCCTACTTTGCTTATTTCTGCTTGCTTCAAGTCCTTAGAAAAAGTCACAATCTGAATCCAAAGCCCTCTTTGGGTGGTGCTGTGATTCAAGGCTCCTGTGCCAGGGGAAAGCAGACATTCCTTGTGATTCAAAGGAAATTTGAACGCTGACACGCAGCATCTTTTCTTTCTTTGAGGGATTGTCATGGATTTTCCTGGTCTGGGCTATTGCAAAGGAAAGATTTCATTCAAATTTGTCAGGGTGGCAGCTGAAAGACTTAGAGCTTTGGAGGTGTCGGTTCTGGATCGAGCAGCATGTGCTGAAGCCATTCTGCCCAACACTGTGAATAGGGGGTTTTATAGTGCCAGTGACTGCTTGATCTTCCCAGGGAGCACTGGTGGAGTTGCAGCATAGAATGAAAAGGAGCTTTTCTTCCACGTAGCTGCTTGTCAGCTCCCATTTTCTTTGCCAAGAGTGTGCCAACAGTGTAGTTTTAATTTGGATTTGGGGGAGGTGAAATCTCCAAGCGTTGCTGATGGATCATTGCAGTGCAGTCATGTACTTAGTAGGGTAGGACTGAGAACAATTTAGTCATTTGCCATTAGTTCACTTCCAGATAGTAACTAGTTTGATCACAGCTGATGGACAGCTAAGAGCAAGTCTTCCTATTCCCTGGTTGACAGCAGAGCTGGTGGACACAGGAGATTCCATCCTTGCTGTGTACAGCAGGTAGACCTCTGAGCTTGTTTTACCCATCAGTAAGCTTGGACTGTGTGTACACGCTGTTTGATGTCTGTTTCTGCCACTTCTTTGGCTTCAGGCAGTGCCAAAAATAGCTTTCCTTTAGGGTTTTGGGGTTCTCGTGATCCCGGCAGCTCTGCTGATTCCTTGTAGTAACATTTCCTTCCCAGGGAGGGCCCCAGGACCAGGGGTGGTTCACAAGCAGGGTGTGACTGGTATTAGACAGAAGGTCTGTCCTCTCTTATTTCTAACCATGACCTGTTGTGACAGCATGACTCACTGCTCACGGGGAGCTGGCTGCAGTCTGTGTGGGTCAACCATAATTACCACAACTCGTCTGACTTGTGTTAGATTTGTCATTTATTTCCTGCAGGAGCCGCAACCATGGTAATCAGTGTCCCACCACCCTCCTTAAAATGAAGTACTGTTTATTAGAACAGAAGCATGTATTGTTTTAAGAGCTGATGTTCCTCTAAATCAGACACTCCGCTTAACAGTCTGGCCATGTTCACTGTAGTAGATCTGTCTACCCCACAGAGATGCTTTGTGTCGGTGCTCACCCCTGCTGCAGCATGTGTCTGTTCAAATCTCTCCTTGCAGGCACACAGTAGCAACCACACCGTTTTGATCTGTTAACTCCCAGCACCGGCCAAACTAAGTCTGCAGGTTGTCAGGATCTGTCCCCATTGTGCTTCGGGTGTTACCTGGAGGTTATCGTCAGGGAAGCTGTTGAGTTGCTTCTCCATCAGGGCATGCTGAGCTCGGTAATGTGTGTGCGTGTGTAGCTCACACACACACTCTCCCAGCCCAAGTCAGACTAGTACAACTAGAGAGCTTAGTCTGAGAGGAACATGGGAGTTGCACATCACTGTCCAGATCACATACAGTCACGCAGCCAGAGACACACAATCATTAGGTTTCTGGTGTTTTTAGGGGATTGCACAGCTGTGCCACAAACACTGAACAAGGCCCAAAACAGATTGATTTTTTGAGGGGGTGTTTTACTGCCTGTTCTCCCTTCTGTCTTCCCCTCCATCCTGTCTAGTAACTCCACTTTCCATCCCCAGTTTCCACCCACCACGTTTGAGCTGAGTGCTAAGAGAGGAGTGAAGACTGTCGGTCACTCATTCTGTCCTGCTCCTGGCTCTCCTGTAAGCACCATGAGGAGACCAGGAGGTGTGTTAAAGATCCTCTCAGGGGGATCACTTGTGTTGCCACATCTATAGCCTCCACAGTTCCTTCGCCATAGGTGAGCCTGTCTGCAGTCTTCTAGTTTTCCTGTTCTTCAGTAACCTGAGCAAAACATCTACCTCTTTGGGAAGAAGCATGAAATGCAAGTTACCAAGATAATGCAGTCCCAGGCTCCAGCCCTAACTGTCCTTCATTAACAAAAGTTGCCTTGAATTTCAGGTCTGGGGATTTGACTGTGCTGAGGTCTCAGAGCAACTCATTTGCTAACCTGCTGTTGCTTCCTCTTTAGGGAATTCCCAATGAAAGCTGGAGGTTGACCAAGATTAATGAGCGCTATGAGCTGTGTGATACATACCCTGCCATTCTAGCTGTGCCTGTAAACATTCCTGATGAAGAATTAAAGAGAGTAGCATCTTTCAGATCAAGAGGACGCATACCAGTGAGTGTGACAAAAGAAGCTGCTTTGATGTGGTGTTGTTACATACTTTTGGGCCATAAATAATACCAAGATCAGGCTGAGTGGATTCCAGGGAGCAAATAAATGGTCAATGGATAATAAAAGTGACAGCAACACATTTGAGGAGTTAGAAAGCAACATTATCTGCTGGAACTAATGTTGTGGAAGAGATGTAGACTAAACCAAAATGAGAAGATAACTTAGCACAACCCAGACCGAATCTCAGTTCAGTTCCAGGGAAATGCAAAGCAGCCCTATTTGGTTGTTTACAATTGTCTGGCCTACTCTGACTTTCAGGATAGAGGAATACTTAGTGATACTCTTGATGAAAATGCTTATTAAATGAAATGAAGACAAAGCACATCGTTATGATGATTATTTCAGCAGTAACTGAAAATGTACTGTTTTACTTCTCAAGTCTGTAGAAAATTAAATCTCTTCCTAAAGTGCTTAACTTTTAGATGGCATAATGTAGCGTAAGACATAGCCTAATGACTGCAGAGCGAGAAAGCGTGTTTGTGACTCACATAACAGTGAGAAAACAGTCTGCATCATATTTGAAAGTCAGACTTAAACCTATTCAGTCACCTCTTGTTTGTTTAAACTTTGGGAATGCCACCAGAATGAATGAATAAGGACAGAAGAGTTCTTTTTTTCATTCAATCGTGATTTAATAGAATCCAGCCTGCTGGAACCAGCTAATACATGGCAGGATCCCAGAGCAATCCATTACAGGGAAAACACTTCACTGGTTTAATGAATCCCATTTTTCCTTCATTCTTTCTCATTTGTTTCCAAAGGTGTTGTCATGGATTCACCCAGAAAGTCAAGCAACGATCACTCGCTGTAGCCAGCCAATGGTGGGAGTGAGTGGCAAGCGGAGCAAGGAAGATGAAAAGTATCTTCAAGCCATCATGGATTCTAATGCTCAGTCCCATAAAATCTTCATATTTGATGCAAGGCCTAGTGTGAATGCTGTAGCCAATAAGGTCAGGTGCTTTTTCCTCTCTAAAGCTGGGAATATAATAATTTAGAGCACATTTCCCACCACCATTTCAAATTATTCCTGAGGATCACTAAAGGTTTTCCACCGTGAAAGGAATCATATGCAATGATCTGATTCTCTAGACAAACTGTTACACCGGCACTGGTATCTGTAAGATATCAGTGTGACTACTAAAGGTCCATTTGGATTAATCTACATCGGGAAATGAGATTGGAAGGAGGAAAAAAAAATCAAAGTAGTACTGACGTCAAACTCTAACACCTTAGATCTTGTGTATCACCATTTTTCACTTCACATCATTGAAAGACTGCTTCCTCTAATAGCACCAGAACCCTGTCCCTGATGGGAGCAGGGGCTACTCAAGCATTTCTGAAAATCAGGCATCATGATCTTTAATTTCAAAATATAAGCTGGGGATCTTTAATGTCTAGGAAGGTTGCTGTGTTCTTCCTGCTGTTACGTCTCATGCCATCACTCCAAGCCCTGTTTTAATGATAGAACTGCTTTGTTGCACTAAAGCTGATTTTTTTTTTCTTTTTTTTTTTTTTAAAATCTGTCTTTCCCACTACTTAGGAAAGGCAATTAGTGTGTGGGATATACTCCTCTATAATAGTATGGTAAATTTGTAAATGACAGAATAGTGAATCTAATGAGCTAGCAGCTTGAATGGGGATAAATGATAATTACAGAGAAAAAGAAGGCTTGTAATTTGATATTCTTTGGTAAAAATTATAGCATTCATTACTATCGCAGGAAAGAGCCACTAAGTGTGTGCGTGTACGTGTTTGTTCCCAATTGTAAGATAAATACAATGTTTTCTGCCTGCTTTAGATAGCACAATCACTGTTGTATTTTATCAGCTGTTATTTGCTCAGGACAAACAATTGGGATAAAATATAAAACATGGTTTTGTTTAATGATTTTTACGTCGATTTTGTTCTTCAGGCTAAAGGAGGGGGCTATGAGAGTGAGGATGCCTATCAGAATGCAGAATTAGTGTTCCTGGACATTCACAATATTCATGTTATGAGAGAGTCGCTGAGAAAACTGAAAGAAATTGTGTATCCCAATATTGAGGAGACTCACTGGCTGTCTAATTTAGAGTCAACTCACTGGCTAGAGCATATCAAGGTATGCATGTCTGTATCCACTGGATGTGGCTTAGTAAGCACAAGTCCGTACCAGTCTGTTCACTGGGAAATGTATCCAGAGCTAATTCCACTGCTGGATTTTCAATTAATGAGAAATTTAAAGACTTACAATTTCTTTTCAACTTAAAAACAACTAAAACCACAGTTTCATGGAATGGGAAATTTTAAGGAGATGGGAAGAGGGACAAGAGAGGGGGTTGAAATACTGAAAGATGGTGTTTCGGAAGTGAATTGTGTTCCTGGGTAATGTGTAACTGTGAAAGCCCTGGTTAGAGCACAGGAGGAGTCCCAGAGTTTCCAAGGTCTTGACTCAGGGATTCTTGACATCCTGGCATTACTGCCTAGTCCAGACCAGCAAATGTTGGGAGTTCATGCCCCGTCAGCCTTTCAGGAATCCAAGCAGAGTCAGAATGAGTGGGGCAAAATACTTCAGCTTCTACAGATGTTGGTTTTCAAATTAAGCTCTTTCTCTCCTAAAAACGTCCAGCTTACATTGTCGACCTGCTAATGCAGATAGGGGCAAATCTGCTCCTGGGGCAGTTGCAAGGCGACGGCCATTTTCTGTTCGTGTCCAGACACAGAATGCTCCTGCGTTTAAATCCTGACCTGTCCAAGGACTGAGCTTAATGCAAGGGCTGTTCTAGAGTTGTGCCTGCACTACAGTTTAGATGTGCTGTCATCTTGCTGGAACAAAAAATGCGTTCACCAATTTGCTGTCCTAGTTATGAAGTAGTTGGAACTGATTTACCATTCTCCTTGAGGCAGACAGAGCCCTTGGTTTGTCCTGTGTTGTCACTAGCCATTTTTCATTTATAGTTTCTGTTCTAAAGAGATTTCATAACTTTTTTTTTCTTGTCCTAGCTCATTCTCGCTGGAGCCCTTCGGATTGCTGACAAGGTGGAGTCAGGGAAGACGTCTGTGGTTGTACACTGCAGTGATGGCTGGGACCGGACAGCCCAGCTCACCTCTCTCTCTCTGCTCATGTTAGATGGCTACTACCGAACTATCAGGGGCTTTGAAGTGCTAGTGGAGAAGGAGTGGCTGAGCTTCGGCCACAGATTTCAGCTGGTGAGTCACTAGCCCTTGGAAGGCACTGAACAGAAAGTTATTGTCCACCTTGAAGGATTTCAAAGGAGTTTAGCCTTTCCTGTGAGAAGTCTCCCAGCTGAAATCACAGAAGAAAGGTGAATGCTGCTGCTATTATTTTCTGCCTACAATTCCAGTCATCTCTTAACCTCCTTGGAGACAGTATTAGTTAGATAGGAGGAACAGGTGGTATTAAATCTCTCAGGTGCCTGACTGATACATCGTGTTCCCATGCTTAGGCTTAAACTAACAGTGTGCTTTGGGTTCAGGACAGGCATTTCTGCTGGGAGTTGGCAGAGACCGCTGGGGTATTTTTTGTTTTTCTTTCAGTTCCATTTTCTGAGACTGCTTGGACACTGTCATCTAACAAATGCCTTGGTATTGAAGAGGCTGGGGAATACGGCCTTGACCTCACATTTTCTTCAGGCACATTTTATTTTTGGGGAGGCTTTTAATTATTTAGGTAAAAGATCAGCAGTTTGAGACTGGACCAAGAGTAGCTCGCGGTTGTGTGCCTAGAGTCAGCAGAGAGGCAGCTTGCGGACCTGTAACACAGCAGTTTGTTAAGGTTTGCACTGATGGGAATTGAGAGAGCCTTTCAGTAGTATCCTTTCAGTCTTTGTTCCTATTGTGTTTTGCTTGTAGCTGTTCTCTTGTAGTCATTGAATTTTGGCAAGGGCTGGAACAAGGTCTGTTTACAGCACATGCGATGGTGGGTTGCATAGTCAAATGCTGTGATGAAGAGGGGAAACTGAGGCACTAAGCAACTGAGGTTCTGCTGTGGCAAACCTGTTATCTTGGTGTTTGAACTATGAGTATTTTAGCTTCCCTGTCTATACAAAGAAGATAATGGTACTGATTTCCTTCAGTGAGGGGAGAACAGTATTACAGAAGAGGAGGGGATCTCTGTTACTTACAAGTTCTTATTCTGTCTTTGTACAGTACTTCGGGCTCCTGGGTAATTATAACCAGTCACGTACTATACTAGTTATAAGGAATCAGGCCTTGCGTGTCTTATCCAAGGCCCACAGCATGGTTAGGGTTGGAGGCCTACTTCTGGGGATACTTTCATCACTGCCTCTCTTGAGGTGGCAGGAGATGGGCTGGGTTAGTGTTTGTACAGCGCTTGGAAGCTGCGAGGTGTTGTGTGACGGTTATCGCCACATGCCATGCCTGTAGGTAGTGTTTAGATCTAGCACACTGTACTACTGAAGTAGCCAGGACGACAGCTGCAACTGAAGCAAAAAGCATTCTCCTTTTTTTTCCTTCTGAACTTTAGCTATTAACTGAAATCGGTGCCAGCATAGCATCTGGAGCTTCTACTCAAACAACTCTTGTTTAAATTTAGCATGAAAATATCCCCATAAAGAAGTTTCACTTCAAAAACAAAGGGAGTAGCTGTCCTTTACTCCTTTACCCACTGATATGGACAAAGGAAAATCAGGACTCATTTGAACCTTCTTAAAGCTATTGGTAAAGGCTTGGGTGACTGAGAGGAGACCCCAGCAATTTCCCCATGAAGCCCCATGTGACTCATGTTCTTTGTCCTCCTCTGTTTCAGAGAGTTGGCCATGGAGATAAGAATCACGCAGACGCAGATCGCTCTCCTGTCTTCCTCCAGTTCATCGACTGTGTCTGGCAAATGACAAGACAGGTAAGTTGCTGGGTGGCACACATGTCCACAAAGCCATTGTACCAAGACATGGCACAGTGCGGCCAAGATCTGGCCACAGGAGTAATTTCCAAGCTAACCTGCACAGGCTCTCCTTCCTGGGCTTCTGCTCTGGCAACAAGTTTGTTGGGAGTCTGTTTAGCAAAGAGCCTGAATGCACAAGTGCACAGGAAGGCCACGATGTCGGGTTGCATCAGATGAGCTAGTTAGTGGGTGCTACTTACATACATGCTATAATAAATACGAGCTTGTGAGAAGCAGCTTGCCTCGCCGTGAAATAGAGAACAGCTGCCTCACGTGTATCACGGGCAGGAACAGACACCCCAGCCATCCTCACTAGCCCACTGTGCCTTCAGAAGCATAAGTGACTCGAGCTGCTAATGTAAGTCTCTAGCATGGTGGGTGCATGCAGATCCCTGTTGCCTCCGCTCAAGCTGATCTCGTAACCGAACCTGCAGGGAAGACTTGCATTTGCTCCATTTTAACTTCTTCTGAAGGCAAACATACTGCTCCTGATTCATGCTTGATGTACAGAGCCAGGAGCTGAGGTCCTCGCTTCAGACCAAGCATGGCAGAGGCACAGTTTGGGAGAGATACCCTATGGCTGGGAGGTTTTTCCCTTGGGTATGTAGGACCTGGAATGTTTTTTGTGTCTGCTGTGATCTTTGTGCTGCATTTTAAGCAAATGTCAGCCATGGTCAGGCAGTTCTTTGAAAAAATTAGGCTTGTCATGGACTAAAACAGGTGAAATCGGAAAGGATGCCACTATATAGGAAGCTGTGTATCGTGTCCGAGCAGAGAAAGAGGGAGGCTTTACCATCATCAGAAGTCACTTCCATCATGCTATCCCTGGATTGCTCCTAGAAGCAAACATCCTGACCTGCTGGTGAGGTCAGGGTGTTGCAACCAGAGCAGCCTGGGAAGAGAAAGGTGATTTGTGAGGGAGGAAGGCCTCCCGCTCTCCTCTCCATCGCTCCAGCATGTCTTTGCAGTTCACTGCATGTATTCTTACTGACCCTTTGTGGACCTTCATTTCTCCCTGTCTTGGGACTGATTGTTTCTGCATGGAACGTCAACAGCAAACACAGCCCCTACCCATATACCTGTTCCTCCCGCTGACCTGTGTTGCAAGATGCCTCCCTGCTGTTCCCTCTGGGAAGCGCTCTGTTGTGCACGCAGGTTATTTCCACTTGCCCCCAGGAAATTTCCATTTCTTTTTATGCGTTATTTCACGTATGCTTCAGACTTTTGTTCACAGTCTCGTTGCATGGTCTGTCATTAGGGGCAGGCATAGCAGAGCAAGCTTCAACTTGAAGCAGCACTGAGTATGTATAAACACAGCGGTGAAATCCTTCAGACCTCTGGCTTTTGCTCAAAATTCCTCTCTGTGCATGTAAAGCAGTTTTCCAAGAGAGAAACTCTTGCTCCTGGAAGGAGCAAATATGATCCTGAATATTCCGCCAGGCAAAGAACAGAGACAAATCCTAATTTAGAAATAAAGACGAGAGGCCAACTCCTTACCAAGACCACAAAATGGGAGAAAGTTTATTTGCTATCCCTGTTCTAAAATCCCAACATAATTTTCTGGTTCTGTCTGAAGTTTCCTACAGCATTTGAGTTCAACGAGTACTTCCTGATAACCATCCTGGATCACCTGTACAGCTGTTTGTTTGGGACCTTCCTGTGCAGCAGTGAGCAGCAGAGAGTGAAGGAGGTAAGACAGCGTCTCTCAGTGAAGGCATGGTACAGTGATTGCTTTAGCTGGCCACATAATGCTAGAGAAGTTTCAGCACTCCAAGATAGTGGTAAATGCAGGTCTGGGTAATGCCAAGCCTTCTTAACAGCTGGGACACAGGGTATCTTCCTCTTTCTGCAGACTGCTGTCTGTTGGAAACTTTACATTTCAGAGTAATACCATTTCCCTCTGGACAGTCACCAGTAGCTTTCAGCTACTCACTGGTGGCTGAATAGCTCCTGTTGTCTCCCGAGTAGTTGGAAATGCAAATTTTTCTTTGAACTCCAGTTTAATGTAACCTTCTTTGTGGAAACTGGTACCTTTTTGCGCTCCCTTTTCCTTGCAGTGGTCCCGTTAGGTTGATTTTAACTACCAAGTGTGTATTGTCATTCTGCACGCACAGGTTACAGCAAGTAACTGGTCTCAATGTGTGTTCTTGCTGTGCTTGCATTTTTCTGGGAGAGGACAGAGCTGCTAGTATTTGGAGGACATGCCTCTAGGTCCTGCCACCAGCCAGCTCTGCCTTGCAGTCTGGTCAAGGTTTGTTTGCCAAGGGAGGAGCGTATAGATGCATACATTCGGACCATTCAAACACTACCCTATTCAGACCCACTCTGGAATCAGAAGGAAAAGCAATGACATTCATTCTGTCTCACCTACCGAAAGATGAAGCATTTTGTCACCAGAAGGTTGCAGCCTAACATCACAGACGTTGAGGACAGTGCTGTGTGGACCTGATGTGATTATATTTGACAGCACATCAGTTAAAAAATAAAAATAATAATATATTACTGTAATACAGAAGTGATAGCATTGTACTGTGATGAAATCAGTTTCTCTAGAGTCCACAGTGATTGAATAATTGTAATTGCTAGAGAAGAAAACCTGCATGCCATTTGCCTGTGGATTTGGGGGTTTTTTTTAAGGCCTCAGCTTAGCGAAGTACTTAATCTAGAAACCACTTTAACACTGGTTTCACTGGGACTATTCACAGGCCTAATTATTCTACTAGATCAGGGCCCAAGTCAAATGTGGGGTTTTTTTTTGGTTTTGTTTTTTTTTTTTGCAATTAAGTACTCCAGCAAGTCCTCCAGGAGCACTTTAAAGAGGGTGAAGTTTAACTAAAGCATTGAGAGTTCATGTGCCAGTGTCCCCTTGCTGCGGTTCCTGGTCTGTGTTGGCAGCTGGGTGGGTAAGAGGGGATGTTTCCGTGCCAGGGTGCGTGTGTGCCTGCTTGCATCCATGTGCTTTGATTACAATAACCACATCAAAAGAACGGGTTTGGTTTTTTTTAAGCTACAAAAAGGCAACCAGCTCTGTATTAATGACAGGCATGTGTATATGCTGTTATATAGACTTTGTAGATAAATGGGAAATAAAGCCTCCTCCACCCCCTTCCCTTACAGAGCCTTCCAAAAAAGACCGTGTCGCTTTGGTCTTATATCAACAGCCAACTGGAAGACTTCACTAACCCCTTGTACGTGAGCTACTCCAACCACGTCCTGTATCCCGTGGCCAGCATGCGCCACCTCGAGCTGTGGGTCGGCTACTACATCCGCTGGAACCCCAGGATGAAACCGCAGGTACGTCTCTTCCAAGGATCCTGCTTTTATTTCCCTCCCTGCTAGTACTAATACTGCCATTTTGGAGCTCAAGACCTTTGAAGCACAGGAAGTAATGTACAAACTTAAGCTGCCTCTGCTTAAATCTAAAAACAAAAGTCTAAAATACAAATGCAAGCAAATGAAAGAACGGCTGGCTGGTACAGGTGCTCAGCTGGAGGTCACCACCTCATGAAATCTGCAGAAGCTGAAGATACTCAGCAATCTGGAAAAATTCTCACTTAGAATATGGGGAAATTCATCTGAAGTCTCTCGTTTTTACGAAAGAGCCTAAAAACCTAAGACTTCTTTGGATGTGGGATCCTAGATCTGAGCCCTGGGGCTGTATTTAGATTACCGGCAACAGGAGTCTGCTGCTTGCTTTGGCTGCCCAAGGCAGAGGGGTCTGACTGCAGCCCGCGTTACGCTCTTGACTGCTGACAGCAGGGAAACTGGCGCGCCCAGGGCAGGCACCTGAGACGAGCAGCCTGAACATGGCCCTAAATGCTGAAATCACTTTTTAATAGGAAGGGACATATTCCTGGATTGCCTCAATGTCCAACTGCAGTTAACAGAGCTTTGCAAATCTGGGGCATTAAATACAGGAACATGACAAATGCTTTCCAGTACTGTTTAACAGTCAGAACTGTGTAAAAATATTTAGATAAATCTGTGTTGGTTTTTTTTCCCCAAAGCCCTGAAATTATGTCCAGGCTGAGATGCCAAGGCCGGCGTCCCCCAGAAATGTCAGAGATCAGAGTTTTGTAATTGTCATCTTTCAAAATACACACTAAGTTTTGTTTAGCCACCATTGCACTACACGTGTTGGTTAAAATGAGTATCCCAAAGCCGGAGCAACTACCCACCCCTGGGCTGAAGACGATACAACCCACGTACCACTCCTCCTTCCCTCATAGCTGTGTGCCAGGTCCGCGGCAACGTTTTGTGGTTCAGGCTTCCACTTCCATGCCTACCTCCTAGCACTCAGCTACACGTTTTCTTGCAGGAACCTGTCCACAATCGCTACAAGGAGCTTCTTGCCAAGCGGGCTGAGCTGCAGAAGAAAGTGGAGGAACTGCAGAGAGAAATCACCAACCGTTCCACCTCATCCTCGGAGAGAGCTGGCTCTCCCGCACAGTGCGTCGCTCCCGTACAGACAGTTGTATAATACGGACTTTTTTTGCCAAGTACCTTCCCAGGACCATGGGGGCAGCTTTTCTGAAACCCTCTGGATTTCCAGTGTGGTGTCTGGGAGATGCCAACATATTTATTTATTTCTCTCCAGGGTAATTTATTAATACTGTAGCGCTAGAGGAAGCTTAAGCAAAAACAAACAAACAAGGCCCCCTATGCAATTAACCTTCTCAGTGGCTAGATTACGATACAAGCTAATTGCACTTGCCACCTAAAAGAAACCTAGAGCTCTTTCTTTGTTCTGTTACGTGCTGGAAACCGCTTGGCTTTAAAGAGAGACTGTGCACTAGAATGAAGTACTGTGGAGGAAAAACATCTACTCAGAAGTTTGAAAAATCTCCCCTTTGCTAAAAGGAAATACGACTCTGGCTTTGTATTGGAGCGTAGAATACAGCTGTGAAGCCATGAAACCCTCCACTGTTCATGTCTGTATAGCGGTGTTTATGAGAGCGTTTGCCAACATAGAGACAAGCAGCGATAGAATCTGAAACATACCACTGTCCTCGCTTGTCCCTTCCCTTTGATCTAGATCACAGGAAGCCATGTAAATGATGCCTTATTTAAAGAAAGGGCAGCTTCTACCAATAAAACATGGTGGTAGAGGAGCAACCTACATGACTTGACTTAACTTTGTAGGACAAAGTTTACTTCCATCTCCGCAACTTTTAGAGTATGTATGGTTTACATTGGGTGTGCCAGGACGCAACTTAAGCACCTTTGTTTCTGAGGGGGGACACAGAGCGTGGCTCCCCTGGGCTTTCCGCAGCGCCTCTGCCCTCCAGTGCCTCATACTCATCCGGGAAAGGTAGTGGAATACCAAGGGGCACCTGTGAACTGCTGGGATCAGTCATTTCATTTTGCTTGGGTAAGCATAATTAGTGATTTTAACGCTTCTGTGCAGGATCATAGTTGCATACGTAAAGTATTTCAGTTTTCTGTTTACTAATGGAAGCAACTGTCTATCGACCAAAGAAGCCTTTCTGCCTGCATTGCAACTGCTACTTAAGGTTATTCTGGTAGAGTAAACAGCTTAGCCAGTTTCTGAGCCCTATGTTTAGGTCTTTTTTCCTCATAGCATACTTCAAAAATTAGTGTCACCTGACTAAAGTCCAAATTCAATTTTAATACAGAATTTTACTGTAGAAGTGGAAATAAAAAACACACTTGGTGAAACTGTGACTGCCCCATTGCTCTTCCAAACAGATAAGTACGGGGTTGTAGAAGATAGGGCGTACAGCAAAGGAAGTTATGTATGTGCAAGGATCTTTACTCCAGGCTGCTCCTCAGCTCCACGTTAAGGAAGGGGGGTACTGGTTGGTCTGAGTTCCTGTGTTGCTCTTTTATGATAGTGGTCACCTGTTTAATACACCCATCAGCATGCTGCTTCACTCGGCCTCTCTTCCACAATAGAGAAGGATTTTCTGAGGGAGTACAAGAGCGGACCAATTTACACACAAGAAACTGTCTTTCAAAAGCCACATTCCTTCTGAGGCAGTAACAATATTTTCCCCTGCAGTCTCCATTTCTGCCTGCTCTGCTGCCATCACTGGCTCAGTTCTTACACAGAAATCCACAGCCACCTTCTGACAGAATGAGTAATGGGCTGTATAGCATCACTGCATTTGTTATAGGGTGGCCTGAGACATTATGGTTCAATAGTGCAATGAATCCACAGAAAATACCTTCTGCAGGACTTGGATTTGCTTTAAGGTTAAAGGGCAGATCTGCTCTTATGTACAATCACTATATAAGATGGTTCATTATTCTCTATTAGCAAATTGACTATGTGTGTATATTTTGTTTCTTGATGAAGGCTGTTTGGTTTCCTTAACACTAATAAACATTGATAAATGGGTAAAGTTCCTGTACTCTTATTTTCAACTGTGGTTCTCCAAAGGACTTGTAGGACATGCAAACATTAATAAAATAGCACTGAAAATTTAGTATGTTGAATTCAAGTGTCTCTCATTTTTCTGCAGATGGTCTTGCAAGATGCTAATGTTCAAACTCTGAAATTTAGAATGACAGAAAAACAAACTTCATCTTTGGACAAGTTTCTCTTATCCTCTACAGACCAGTATTAATACAGATACAGTGCTTAGCTGCTCAATATTACAAAAATACTTTCACAATCAAAAAAAATCCAACAATTTCTGCACTTAACAGTGCATTAGCACAGTAACTTTCGTGTAAAAGAATTCACACTTTTCTATGTAACTCATGTTAAGCCCAAATTCACTGGGATGATTTGGGATCAATTCAATGCCTGCTCCTTGATGCTGTCACCCCTAGTAGGCTTAATTCCAACTTGGGCACCTCAGTCACTGTATGCTGCGCATATGGAGCCTAAAATACTCCTACGCCCTCCATCATTAAGGAGCTGCATCTTCAGCTCATCTAAGACGGCCTGAGGTCATGCAGCGCTACAGGCTTGGGGAAGAG